AATGAAAATGTGAACCTCAACGGTGCCTTCCGAAAAACCAAATCGTTTCTGTACCACAGAGGTCAGCTCACGAATGCGCCGTCCACGCTCACCCAACACACTCTGTGTGCGTGTCGCCATTATAATCACCTGTAACATGCTGCTGCGCACATGTGTCCATCAAAAATCGATTGACCGAATGACCGGCCAAAAAATCGATGTTATGGCAGTAAGTAGCACAAGGCATCGATAAACAAAAAATGTACTGTTTATGCAAGTTATACTATTATATTCTGTACTGTACTGCCTTGCGAATCGATGAACCCTATATGATGAGAATATGCATAACTAGGAAGGAGAGTACAGACCGTAAAGGCCCTATGAGCAATATATCAAGAAAAAGCTATAAATAGCCCGCGGAGAGGACTGTAAACAACGGCCAATACAGTCAGGGGCAAAACAGGGGAAGACCTGTACGTGCAGTAAAGGCCCTATCAGGATCATATTAATAAAGACTAGGAACAGCCTGCCCGCAGAGCTGCAAACATCAGCTCAACTTGCTTATGCTCGTCGCAAAATTTTAAAGCTTAAGAAATTTGGGAGAAATGGATTTTTTTTGAGCAAAACCTTCGACCGGTGACAACCACCTGTAATATTACAAACACACAAAAATCGCTACATATGCACTCACAGACAATATTCGTTTTCTGAGTTGCATAGATGCAAAAAAAAAAAACGCATAAGGAACAAAAACTGAGTAACTTTTGGACGGTTTCGACTAATTTGAAAAGTTAACTTCCAAACCCGCTTCGCATTCGCTATCAGTAAAAGGCTAATGCACTAAGAAAGCACCCCTAGTGGTAGCAAATGTCAGAAGTAACCACTCGTTGGCAAGGCTGTCGATGGCTTCCTCTTTCGGAGATTGCTTAGCAAGCAAGCTGATGGCGGGTTTGACTCCTCGGCATATGCCAGTACCAATTTTACCATCGAAACGAATCGTAGAGGGACTGGTTATGCCAGTGGCGAAGTGAAAGCTTCGC